CTGCTATCTGTGAAAAGACGTCAATTAACCTTCAATAGGAGGCACACAAACCAAGAAAGTGCTGGATGGCCTCCTTATCGACAGGAGCTGGAAATTCCACAACAGGTGCAAGTTTGTCTGGATCGGGACGAACCTCTTTGGCGCTAACTACATGCCCAAGAAATTTGAGTTTCCTCATAACAAAAGTGGTACTTCTGTGGCTTTAGTGTGAGCTCTTCTAATCCGATAGCCTCCAGCACGCTGCATAAGCGGTGAGGGTGCTGCTCAAACATGGCAGAAAAGACCATCATATCATCAAGGTAGACAAGACAAGTCCGCCACTTAAGCCATCTGAGGGCAGTGTCCATCATTCGCTGAAAAGTTGCCAGTGCTGAACACAAACCAAAAAGAAGTACTCGAAACTGGTAGAGGCTGTCTGGAGTCACGAAGGCTCTTTTCTAATGGTCTCGCTGATCTACCTCGATTTACCCAGTACGCACTTTTTAGATACAGAGAAGAGAATAATGGGCATGACGAAGGCTATCCAGCAAATCGTCAATACGCGGCAGCGGGTAAACGTCCTTATTGGTCACGTTGTTACGCTTCCAGTAGTCGATACAGAAGCGTAGTGACCCGTTCTTTTTTTTTTTTTTTTGAAAAGGATGACTGGAGAGACGGCAAGCTGTTAGATGGTTCAATAACGCCATCGTCACGCATCTCGCGAACTTGCATACGTATCGCTTTACGTTGTTTAGCCGACATGCAGTAAGGGTGCTGGTGTATCAGGCATGCTTCCTCAAACGTGATGATCCTGTGTTGAGTGTTAGATGTCTGGCGAATCTTTGAGGAACTTGCGAAGCAAGACCTGAACTCGATCAAACAGGAGCGCTCACAGCGCAGTCTGGTTATCGGTGGACAGATCAGGATTGTCTCAATATTACTGATTGAAGTGTCTGTGGTATCCACTAGTTCTGACGTGAGACAGTTGGTGATGTTTGCTACTTCGTGGGCAAAAGCTATCTGACTGCCAGGGAAAAGGTGTGGATGCTCGTTGCTAAAGTTGGTAACGAGCAATTCAGATTGACCACCACGAAGGTGTATTACACTTCTAGCTATACAAATGCCTTGCTTCAGGAAGTGTTCTACATTTTGTTTTGGCCACCCCTTTGCCATTGCCCAAACCACAGCATGTGACATTGATTAGTAGTACACTTGCTCGTGGAGGAAGCATCATGCTGTGTTGAGAAACATGTACGTCGACACGCCTTTCATCATTCTGCAAGTCTATTGCTCGTGGGGCTGAGAATGTGACGTGGCGCTCTTGCAGATCTATAATAGCACCATTCTCCTGTAGAAAATCAACTCCCAGAATGACATCACGGAAGCATTTGCATAAAACAAGGCAGCTTGCTACAAATATATACCCTTAAATCTGAGCTCTAGTTGTCCAGGTGCCCAGAGGGGTAACGACGTGACCTCCAGTCATTCGAATCTGCGAGTTATGCCACGATGGGATTACTTTTCTCAGCTCTGTCGCCAGTTTCCCACTGGCTGATGGTTGCGTAGCAACTGCGCAACCATCACTTGTCGCTAATTTGTCGAATGAAAGCCAGCCATTGCAGCAGCATGTGATGTCGCATCAGTTTTTGTGCGGCTCTGCGTCAATAAGAGGTCTTCAGCACTTCGAACAGTCAGCGACCACGCCCCCAGAGGTTGCTTCGGTTAGTTTCCCCAGCGGGTGCTAGGAGACCATGTGGTAGAATACTGCTGGGGCGGCGATGAAAATCGCCTCGGCGATGGCTAGCGTGACTGGCGCCCGGCAGACAGTAGTGTATGCTGCTGGGAGAGGTAGCCTAGCAAAAATCACCTATAGAAAAACCAATAGCCCATCCGATTATTATTGAACTTATATTGGTCTATTGGTATCCTATGGGTTTACAAGCGGCATTAGTGGTCTATTAGACCTCTATTTGTCTATTGGTGTATTTGTCTATTGCTGCTCTGTTAGCCTATTACGAATTGGTGAATTGGCGTATTGGTCCTGTATATGTCTATTGGCATTCTAAATGTCTATTAGTGCTGTATTTGTGTATTAGAACTCTATCGCAGCCTAATCCTTAGTTGAGAACTCTTAGCTTTGGAATAAAAATATAGGGCATTTGAGGACTGCAACATAGCAGCTCCTCTATAAAGCGGAAACGGTCCATTCAAAATGAGACCTGTATTATATTTTTAATTAGTAGAAAAATGATTTCATCAAATCGGCAATCTTCCCCGAAACAAGCTTTCCAAGCATGCTGTTCTTTCTTTTCGATGGTATGCCACTGCATCACTTCTCCAGGTAGTGCATGAAAAGAAAAACAGATATAAAATACCAGGAAGAAAGAAAGAAATTTTTTATAAGTGCTAATAAAAAAATGATGCATTAAAAAAATATAGAACCGGCATAAGCGAAATTCCGGTAAGCTCGCAGCGGGTAACAACTTCATACAGCAGGAACGAATATTTGGCACATCTGTGCAGTGGATTTGATTATGCTTGTGTCCCAAAAGCAAAACCTCAGTCATTTAGGTGGACTTTGGACACTTGTGGGCAAGGTGAAATGGCACTAGCACCAAACTGATCCCAGCAACTGAGCTTCGGGAGTCACACTAAAAGCTTCACGAAATAAGCGCCTCTCTACTGCAATCATGCAAGCTACAGAATGGGGTTCAGTGAGCATGAATGCTAATTAATGATGGGAGAGTTGCACAGGATTTTTGTTTGCAATAATCTTAGCTTCCTCCTCATCCCTGAGGTGTACTATTATGATTCAACGAAGACATCACATAATTTAGTCTCTTTGAATTCCCACGAAAACAATGTGCTAGTCAATAACATGCATTTATGTCATTGTCTATATATGCAAACAGCCCACACAATGTTCAAAACTGTTGTACTGTAGAGTGGAAAAACTACTGAAACAAATAAAGTGGCCAAACACTCCTCGTGGGGAACCACTTTGATGGCTGGCAAATACACGAATTAGAAACATACGAAAAGCAATTTCTACTGACTAACACATATATATAAAACAGTTCACTTACCGAACAGCCACAGGATATGCGCTCGGAAGAAATAACCTTGGTGGGCATCGTGTCGGCACCGGCACCATTCATTGCTTTTTAAGTCGGAGACGCTGCTTTTAGCACTGTAACTGCTTTGACGTGACATGATTTTCATGTTATCACTAGTCACTTATGCTCATCACACAGCTATGTTATACCGTATCAATTTGGTATATACCCCATAATCGAAACAGCCAGGAGAGCTAAAAGACGTAGGCAGTTAGGTAGACAGATATGGTGAAAGGTGCCAAGGTTCCCTAAGAAATGCTTCACATTAAAAAAAAAAAAAAAAAGGTGCCAGCAAACTTTTTTTAATGATACTTCTAGTGAAAACATGTGGGGCACTTAGAATTGGGGGGAGGAAGGGGGGTGCTTAAAATGGCAAACGTATGGCAAACGTGAAACTTCTGAATTTGGAGAAACTAATTCAGAATAGCCTTATTACTAATCTAAAGATAGTGCTATCTCTTCACTTGTTCATGACACAACTTAAAAACTCATATAATTGCATCCCTTCCATAACTTGTCGCAAATATTTATACATCTCTTCACTGGTTGTGAACATATACATTTTTAGTACATTACAAACTCCTTTTGTAGTACCTTAATTTCACCAAGTTATATTGTTCTTTATGATGTTGCTTGATCATCATTTGAGCTCATATCATATGGTGTATTTATAGCTCTGTGCTTGTGAATTTATTGGTATATATGAAGTTTATTTACTCCACTTCGTTGTCATTTAGTGTTTTTTGAAATACTAATGTCCATAAGGACCCTTTAAAAATTTTGTTGCATCAGTGAGGTGAAAAATGCAGCATATCTCACAAAAAAGACAGTAATAAACTTCTAATCATGTGCTCCAGCTAGCTGAAAAAAGTGTGTTCCTTTTGCCTTTTTGACTATGCAAATGCAAAACAGAAGGTTATGTTGTGGTCATTGGGAGAATTTGATTCCTGATGCAGATTTATGTCCAGCAATATTCATCATGTCTGGTTATCCTTGTCAGACTGCATGTAAATTTGTGCAGTCATAATGCTCAAAATGCAGCGGTGGCGGTCAAGTTCCCCAGCATATGCTTTGAGGCAGCAAGGTATGTCTGCCCCGCCCCGGTGGTCTAGTGGCTAAGGTACTTGGCTGCTGACCCGCAAGTCACGGGTTCGAATCCCATAGATATGTATGGTTTAACGTCCCAAAACCACCATATGATTATGAGACGCCGTAGTGGAGGGCTCTGGAAATTTCGACCACCTGGGGTTCTTTAACGTGCACCCAAATCTGAGTACAGGGGCCTACAACATTTCCACCTCCACCGGAAATGCAGCCGCCACAGCCGGGATTTGATCCTGCGACAGCCACTAGACCATCGTGGCGGGGCAACGGGTTCGAATCCCGGCTGCGGCGGCTGCATTTCGATGGAGGCGGAAACGTTGTAGGCCCGTGTGCTCAGATTTGGGTGCGCACAGTTACATGTAACCAATTAGCAACCAATTACATGTTAGCAACCAATTGGCAATCAATTACATGTAATTGGTTCCTAGAGAAATCGAGTTACTACAAATGGGAAAAAAATGTATGTACCAGTGCAGCTTAAGCTCCTCATGATTTTACTGATTGACTGAGTTATTAATTCTAGTAAGAACTAAACCTACATTTTTCAGAGCGAAAAATCAGCCTCTTTCTCTCAGTGCTATACTCTTGCTTTAAAAGGAAATGCTATGGAAATGACAGACACCGTTAAAACACTTGGAGGCTATTTTAATATATTCATGTTCTGTGATGCTCACACGAAATGTCCTCAAATTAAGGTTGCCCAAATAGTTGGCATTTTGTGAAAATTTCAGCGTTTATTGCCAGTCATGTTTCTGCAGCAAACACCTGCAAGTCTGCTTGCTCATCGTACTCTCTTTTCAGTCTCACCCAGACCACGTTAAGGGACTCATTCTTCTGGGTGACATCTATATTAACCACATGAAAGATCTGGACAATGCACAGCAGGTACTGTCCTTTGCCACTTGAGAGGCCTCCTTTCAGGAATAGAAAAAATTTGGGGGAAAACAAATTTTTTAGTACAGAACTTAAGTTGCAGAAGTTGTTAATATCCACGCTATAAGCGAACCCGCACTACAGCCAAAACAAAAGGAAACTGACAATCTCCTTGTAAAACTAATTCATAAAAGAATTCATATAGATTTCTTTAAAAAAAAAAAAAAAGAAGCCTACTTCCTAAAAATTTGGAATGTTGTCAGTTTCTCTTTCTAAACACGTTTTTTTACTGAACTCGAAGAATAGTGCGGAACTGATTTGCACTAGAGAGTTTCAGTTCCAGCGCTAGGGGCTTGCAAGCATAAGCATCTGCGTTCTTCGCATTTTTCATGGATGTGACTTGCAGTACAATGGAACGCAAAAAAGCTTTAGGTTCCTTGAATTATTGTTTCTGGGTGGTGTTAACACCTTGACAATGCACTACACTACTCTCAAGGCATGCCATTCGTAGGAGTTATTCAGCGGCAAGAGTCCTTTTTTTTTCTTACTTTCTTTTTCCTATACGCAGTTATTTTTAACGATTATAGATACAACTCACATACGTGTTTCAAAGAGCTGTCAAGCTGCAGATTGCAACTTTTAGCCCTGAAAAACCACTTCAAATGTATTTGGAAAATAAAGAAAAAAATAGAAAATAGCTAGCAATGGGAAGGCATGCTCGTCATTTATGTAAGCGACCTTGTTTTCCAAAGAGACCAAGGGTCAAAGGTATTTGGTGCTCCCTGCTTGCAGAACAGGTGCAACGTTCTTACCTCTCTGATCGTGCAGTGCTTTATGCCTACTGCATTATGCCTCATCAGCCAATTATTCTGCATTATTTTTACTGAGTTTGAGCTTGTATTATCCACGAGCACATGCATACCTACAATATGGGGCAAGCCATCTTATAATTACCATTAATTTTTGAAACAAGATGATCTTGCCTCAATGTTTGACTTCTTGAATGACCCCCCTCCCCCTTCTCTGTTGAGAACCCCCATTCTGTGCTTTCACATCGAGCAGCACTCCTGTGTCGTGTGCGTGGCGCAGGCAATGCAAGGTCAGGGTTGCAGCACCTCTACCGTCGACAGGTCGCAAAACATACTCGGAAACCCTCCTATTGCTTTCGTGACCAGTGAGAAGGCCGTAAGAAAAGAAGCGCGCACAGATGTAGTCTAGCCTGGCCATGGTTCGTCAGGTGCAGGCCTGCCTGTCTGCCTTGCGCACACCCGCGCGCAATAACAAGCTCTCACTCTCGCCTGGGAGTCACTTGGGCCACAAGCGTGCCGTGCGTGCCGAAGCGGCAGCAGGGCACCCGCAGAATATGCATGCTCGTGTGAAAATACGCAATCCAGAGTAAAATTCCTAGGTTGTACGTGAGGAACATTGGTTATGTGAAGGATGTCTCTCGCTGTTACTTTGTTACATAGAGGTTGAAAATACATTTGCTTCTATAGAGTAACGATGGAGAATAGAAAAACTACACTATAATAAGGAATTCGTTATATGGAGGTTTGTCATAAGCAGGCGCTTACCGATCAGAGCTTGTAATCACGGAATGGTAACGCAGAAAATACCAAAGAATATGTAAAATCAGATATTTCCAATTGCGACGAATATGCAATGTATTAGATAATAAAGAGTCCCACAACCAATATTTATGGTACCCATTTTCTGGAGTGCAATGTAAAGCTTACCGATCAGAGCTTGTAATCACGGAATGGTAACGCAGAAAATACCAAAGAATATGTAAAATCAGATATTTCCAATTGCGACGAATATGCAATCTTAAAGAGACATGCTCGTGGAAACAGTGGATGTGATCACAATAGCGATTATACGCCAGTGTAACGCCAGCAGTGATGAGAATTAAAGCCCTAAGTACAAGCAGGAAATTTTATGTTTGTCAATTAAGCCTGTTGTCCTACAACCACTGCTTTCTAGCATGCTAAATTGTTTCATAAGAGTTACATAACTTTCCCGGGGTTTCTTATGCAAATACTTTTAGCAGTTCACAGGTAGTTTTTTCGACTTTAGCCAAGTCAAGCTAAGCCAAGTCTTTGAAAAGGAAATGAAACATTTACACGATCAACAGTCCACGAACAGTAGTTCACGTGCAGCTGCAGTTGGGTGGCTTCCATATGTCATCACTTGACAACTTGAGTGAGTTAGAGGAATGAATTTAGGCTCGCATGGGAGCGCAAAATTTAGACCCTTATCAGGTAGTGCCAGAGCGACATGCTTCGACGGACAACAGCAGTAGCGACGAATCCGAAGAACCATCATCATCGCCACCACCAGCAGCACGCATGAAGTGGTAACACAGAGCAGCAAGTCTACGGCATTTCGCATGTGGCAGCGATCGCATTCACAAGCTCGCGTGCCTCTTCCAACGCGCCGGACACGATGGGAATCGAATTACTGTGGAAACGCTGTGCACATGTGCAACTACACCTGTTTTCTTGCAGAGGCCACGAAAGCAGCGGCACCTTTCTTGTTCTAGTTATGTTATCTTGTAAGCCACATAGAAACAAATGAAAATGAACAATAACATACATATTCGAAATTTAAGCCCTTATTCCTCTGCACTTTAAATAATCACAGCAAAGTTATTCAGACTTGCTAACTCTGGTTCATATCCCTTGCGCTATGGGCCGGTTTTGGTTACTTTTGAGCGTGACTTAAAAATATACTCAGATCATGAAAAGTATGCTATCACCATAATTCAGGCTCTTTTCCTTTCTACCAGAATACAATACCCATTCTGGCCCGTTGTGAGTCCCTTTGAAGAAGACTGTGTATGTCCCTACAGTCAAACTCTGCTACAATGAAGCTTATGGAGCGCGAAAAAATTTTGTTGAAGCGAGAATTGAATCATATCTCTCGAGCAACACTGCAGTACGACAAAGCTTGCGAGATAAATGCTGCTGTTGATGGTCACTTTAGCTGCGCATATTCCCACTGGTGTAACTAAGTCACCTCTGGCTGTGCGGGTTTCAGGGCCATCCCAAGTGCTCCTAACTTTTTTCAACTTCGCGGCGAAAGTCTCTCTTCATGGCGGAATAGTCGGCTCCGATGTCGACGAGAGGTGTGACGCTGTGGCCATCAATGAGAATGTCGAGGTCGCTAGTGCATAGCCTGGCGTTGCGGTTAGGTCCCGGCGTCAGATCGCGGCTACAGCGGTTTGCACCACTATTTCAACGTTGCGTAATCAGGACTTCTTCTGGTCGCGAAGTTTCGGCGTCGAGGCTACGTTAAGGTGACGGCGGGCTTTTGAAGTTTTGTCGTGGTGGCGGCGGAGAATCTTCGGCAGTTCGTCGTGCAGCAACCGCACCTCCATTGGTTGCTACCCTTACTTTTCCCTAATACGGGCCAGGCGACTGGCCCCGGCTTGGGCCAGTGTACTGACGACGATGTGGTGACATGTAGCGGCCGGGTGAAGGTGAACGAGAAGATCATCAAGGTGTCCTCTGCGTTCCGACAACATATTCGGCGATGTCACGTGGTCGTTCTCTTCACTGTGAACCAAGCGCGTTGATGGCAAAACCATGTAGTCCCATCTGGCAGTACTGGCGACGGAAATGTGGCAGCGCAGCGTGTTGACGTGGACATGGAGTGTAGCGTCGGGCAGCTGCAGCATAACTCATGGCTTGAGGTTGCGGTTGCGTTGTCTCAGGGATACCCATTGATTGCTGTATTTCCCCTCTGATGATGTCTGTAGGGGTGGAAGCGGGCTTCAATCTTTTTGAGCAGCCTTGGTAGCAGGAATATTACAGTTTTGGAGCAGATTTTGAGCAGTAAAAGGGGAGTTTCGCAGCAGCTCTGGTGCGCCAAAAGATGTATTTTGGAGCATAAAAATTTAGTTTTCAAGCAGATTTTGGGGTCACACATCACGGTTAATTAGAAGTTTTGATTTCTCATAAAACCAAGAAATTTCAGTGGTTTTCACTAAGCATTCAATGCTGATCAAGTGAGCAGACCTACCCAAAGTTAATGAATATATTACATCTTATAACATCATAGCTGAAAGCACAGCAACTCAAATGAAAAACATAAGCAGCACCCTGGACAGCTATCATGAATGAAAAACGAATGAAAAAAGTTGATGTTAAAATGACAAATAAAAAAAATTGATGTTAAAATGTGGCAATGTTCAAGATGTGAATAAAACACCGCATCCAACATGAACAGCAAGTCAATTAGAAGGCTATAAATAAACTAAGAAAAGCTATTTTCATACTAAACCAATCGGGCTCTATAAAGATTAGTGTAAAGAATTTATGTTCCGGTCATTCAAGTGCTACAGCCGACATGAGAACCATGAAGAAATTCAGATGGGCTCGCTGCACCATTAGGGAGTTCAAGAATAACGTTTCCAGGCGTTGCGGGCATATGAGTTTTAGAATAGAGTTTGGCCTCCTGCAAACTGCAATAACGATCGGAGCGGCACCATAGCCTTGAAACCAGCGTTTTCGGGCCTGCACACGCCGCTCATAGTTTTGGATTTTTTGCGTGTGGGCCGCGAACGCGAACGACCGCTCGCTTTACGACACATGCGCAGTGAAATTGACTACACCACAAGGGCTCGCGTTGTGCTATTCTAAAACTCTCTATTGACGGGCAATTAAGTGATTTTATTTATTATTATGATATGAACTATATGGACACCCGATGGGTTTTCGCCATCGCCGTTATGTTCTACGTAAACTGGAAGTTGGTAACATTTCCCGCGCATCGTACGTTCTACCCGCGCGCAAGATTGCGCAAGCTGGGGTGGTGAAGGCTGCTCAAGCAGAGATTAAACGAGGCAGCCGATTTCTGTCGCTCGCTCGGAGGGCGGCGCACGCGATAGTATCCCGCCACATGTTACACCTGTTGTGGAATGCTCAAGCAGAGATAAAACACGCCGCCTGTTTTGAACAAGCATAAAAAAAAGACCCGGCGGGAAAGGGGGGGGGGGTGCTCAAGCAGCA